GAAATGAAAGAAAAATGAGAGAGGGAGCAGAGAGAAGTGGTTCTGCTAAGACAAGGAGAGAAGAGAGGGGGATAAGAATAAGAATGAGCAAAGAAATAATGGAAGAGAGAAAAAAGCTATATAAAAATTTCAAGTGGCATTTTTGTAAATAACAACTTCCTCGCTAAGTTATTGTTGAATGGCTATGATTAAACCACATTTCCAAGATCCAAGGGCTATAATTCAATCTACTAAAAACTTCCATAAATTATGTTTAACTCCAAAAAATTAATAAACCCAATAAAAGTATAATATTCATACTTCCTATTTCTAAATAAACCCTAAAACACTATTACCTATAAATTAATTTCTACCATAAAGAACTTAGATTTTACTAATTAAAACCACACATACAAAGTCTAGAATAAATTATTAAAATATTAATTATGAAAAATAATATTTATGGATCAAAAAAATACCGATTCCCTCTCCGATGGCACTATTCGTGGCTCGGTGAGTCATTATTCATAATTTAGAAATTTCAAGGCGTTACAGCTCTCGTCCCTTATGAAATTTCATCGAAATTTACCTGAAGCAAATAATTGAGAATGCTATTGTCTCATAACTTTTCCAAATAGCTTCCTCCGTCTTATGATTTCTCCATAGGGCTCTCACTGGAGGAATTCTCTGATTCCTTAAATCCTTAATTTATCGTGCCAATATCCTCATTGGTTCCTCTTCATAGGTCAAATCAGGCTCAATACTAATACCCTCTGCTGCTATCACAAGTGATAGGTTATATCAATACTTCCTTAACATAGACACATGGAAGACATTATGGATTCTGTCTAAATCCGATGGTAAAGCTAGTTTACAGACTAATGGACAGTCACGCTCTGTGATCGCATATGGACTGACGAAGCTAGGACTAACCTTACTCATTTTATCAAACCTCAAAACCTTCTTCCATGCATTGACCATCTATCTAAGGATGAAAAACTGTACAGAAATGCAGTTTGATTGGTCATATTAATTTTCCATTTAAATTTAAATTCTATTCGATAAAATAAGAAATTATATTATATACTAACCTATATTAACTAACTTTTATAGCAAATAAGAAATTATATACTAAAATAAGAAATTACTAATAATTCACCTATATTAACTAACTTTTATAGCAAATAACGATGGTAAAGCTAGTTACAGACTATGGACAGTCCGCTCTGTGATCGCCCATATGGACTTGACGAAGCGTAGGCTAACCTTACTCATTTTTATCAAAACCTCAAAACCTCTTTCCGATGCATTTGACCATCTTATCTAAGGCATGAAAAACCTTGTTAGCAAGAAATGCAGTTTGATTGGTTCATATTAATTTTCCATTTCAAATTTAAATTCTATTTCGATAAAATAAGAAATTATATTTATACTACCTTTATATTTAACTAACTTTTCCTATATTAACTAACTTTTATAGCAAATAAGAAATTATATACTAAAATAAGAAATTACTAATAATTCACCTATATTAACTAACTTTTATAGCAAATAATTCTAAGAAATAAGAAATACAATTCAATTAAAAAAATAAAAATTTATACTTATTATTAAAATTTATTGTTGTACTTTCAATATTAAAACATAAAATTTATGAGAAATAACTTAATTATAAATTATTTAGGAATCATAATTATAATTCAATTAGAAATCTTATTAAATTATCACTTTATTATAGATTGCCAATACATATGTTTAATTCTTATAAAAAAATCATCATAAATATTTTTATTTTTCTTTGACTATAAGGTTTACTATTATTTTACACCAAAGACATTTCTCCTATCATTTTACTTCTTGATCTTTGAGGTATTTTTTTACTTAAGTTACATTAATTTTATCTTTCCAACTTATTTCAATTATAAATTTTTATTTTTCATTCCATTTCATTAATTTTTTACAATATTCATTCATTTTGTTTACATTCATATTATAATTTTTATAGTAAAATATTAAATAAAAAGCACCTAATGTATTTTTTTTCAACAACTTATTATCATTTTTATTATACCACAAAAAAAAACTAATCAATCATATTTAAAAGTAAAAAAAAGAGTATCTATAACAAGTATTACTATTAATGTGCAACTCACGCTGTTAAAAGCTAGTCTATCTTTCTATACTATATATAAAAGTGGGAAAGAGGGAGAGAATAATGAGATTACATGTAATAATATTAGTGAAAATTTAGAAATCCTAAAATATTCTTATCATTGGATAATTGATAATGGTTTGAGTTTATTAAATAGCTTGAGTTTTTATAATTGATAAATTATAAATTTTTATACTTTTTTATTAATTGATTAAGAAAGAATATTATTATATTATTTTATTATTATTATTATTTTGAAAGATAGTATTATTCTTTTAATAATATATTGTTTCTAATTGAACTTATTTACGATATTATTTGTTTCACAAAAAAATATAATATCTTATTTTAAATTTTACATAACTTCAAACATGCAAAAAAAAAAAAAAAAAAAAAAAAATCTATAAACGGGTGTTGTGTGTGTTATATTTAATATATTATATAATATATGACTTGGTTAAAATTTTGTTTCTTATTTATATCTATATTATTTTATCTAGGTTTTCTGAACTTACAAATCAACATTCAATAACATAGGATATATTCATCTAATTTTTTTAAAGAAATCGATGCTAATTAAGTTTAACCTTATAATTAATAATATTTTTCATTTATCATCTATAATTATTTTATTAAATCATACTTTGACTTTTAAATGTTGTCCTTAATTATTTTATTAAATATACTTGACTTTTAATGTTGTCCTATTATATTAAATTTAGTTTAAAAAAATATTATTCACTTATAATATGAATATCATTAATTATGTCGTAACATTATATAAATATCCGGAGGAGATAAGAGAAAAATTATAATCACACTTAATACTATATAAGAGTAAATTAATGAGTATAAACAACAAGTAATACCGAATACTAATAACGTACAATGTACGTCATAAAAAAACACTAGTATCAAATAAAAGCACCTAATGTATTTATCATTTTTCTCAATAATTTAATATAATTTTTAGTATATTAAAAAAATCGATCAATCATATATTTAAAATAAAAAACAAAAAATGAGTAACTTTAAGGAGTACCACAGGCACATTATTAAATTTACAAGTTAATCACACAAATATTGACACTAACATCTATCCATATATATGAAAGCCGAGACAAAGAGAAAGCTCAAGGCACTCTTTTGACTTAATATACTATCTTTCTTTTTTGAAGAGAAAATTTATGTTTTTTTCTTTTTTTTTTCTATATTTTGATTATCTATCTACATATATTAAAACCGAGACAAAGAGAAAGCTCGAGGCATTCTCTTTGCTGAGTATACTATTTTTCTTTTTTTAAGAGAAAATTTATGCTTTTTCTTTTTTTTTTTTTCTGTATTTTGAGTGGTCAACTTAATTTTTCAATTTAACATTTACTATATAATATTGATAGTTAAAATTTTTGAAATCTAATCTAGTCATATAACCTAAAACTTAACTTCTAAAATTTTGAATTTTTTCAATTATCAACTCTAAAATCTAGCTATATTTATTTAAATTGAACACGTTAATTATTATATGTAATCTCTACTCTAAATCTATGTACGTTCACTTTCCTTATCTTGTCTCTTGAATATCAAATTTTGTATTTATTCTATTGTGATTTTGCTTTCATCTTTCTGGTAATATTCTGCAATTTTCTTTGTTTTTAATGCAATTGGAGGCTTTGATCCATCCCTCTTTAATGAGCTACATGACCCAATTCGGTTACCAAATGGACGAGTCCTTCCTCCACTTTTCAACTTCAAATCTCATGGTAATGATTCATGTCTGAAAATTGCTATAGTTTGTCTTTGTATTTTATATTGGCGCAGCCTGCAACTCTTCTTGCTGCCTCTATCACCAAAAATATTGTAAGTTTCCATCTCTCTTTCACAATTTTTATATATATAACAACTAAGATTTTCATAATTTTGTTGTACGGCGTTTTAGCCCAATGAATATGTAATGCTCACTCTAATAAAGACTTAAATATAGATTTTACGACGAGTATTATAAAGATAATTAGATTTTTAAGTATTTTGGGAAGTAAATAGATTTTTCTACAAATATTTATTATTTAAAATTAAACTTTATTATTTAAGTATTAGAACAATCATATTTAGCAATTTTATTTTTTTTTTTGAGAGTAAGCAATTCTAATTTTAATTATTTAGTTAAACTAGAATCGGTAGATATACACTAAATAAATTATTTAACACATATATAATTCCTTTTGGTTGCAGGAGATGTGATTTTGTTTCTGAAATTAATGGTAGCATTGAAAATTAATTTTTTTATAATGTAATTTAAAACTCAAAAAAAAAAAAATTTGGTCTTAAACATTATGTATATAATTAACTTCCATTAATTCTGATTTTCTAATGTTCACCATGTAATTCCACGTAAGCTAAGCTTTTTTTTTTTTTGACATTTCCACGTAAGCTAAGTTAATTGTGCTCAATGCTGCTACTTTTTACACATTTACTTATATACATATATCAAAGTTTTTTTATTCACGAGTCAAAAGTATTTCAAAATAGCAATATAATTCAATTATATAATTATTCAAACAACAATGTATCAGCGCACGCGCGCCAAAGCGCGAAATTAGGATTAATTTTAGTTTAACTAATAACCTTATTGGTTGCAGTACTTTTGCCCTTTCAAAAAAAAAAAAAAAAAAAAAAGGTTGCTAGTACTTTTGCCTTTCAAAAAAAAAAAAAAAAAAAAAAAAAAAAACTAATAATAATAATTCTACTCGGACTTTGGATCGTAAAATTTGTTTTTACTAACTTAATTAAAGTTTAATTATCAATTATTAATTATTATTATAATAGTAAAATTGGATCAGCTCTTTTTACTTGTGCTGAATCTATCTCTATAAATAGCGAAGCCGGAGAATGCTTGATTGCAACGAGGTTCTAATATCCGTGATTCTCACCCTTTAACGCGTTTGAGGGAGAAAGCCTTTCTCTCCTCCGCTTCTCTTTTATTCACCGTCACTGCCGTAGCCGTCGCCAGCACACCATCGCCGCCAGGTAATATTGGTGTATTTTAATCAAATTTAATTTTCATTGATTTCCCCCTTCATTGTTTTTCTCCAATCTGTTGTGGTATCGAACATCCCATAGTTATTTAACAATTAGATACAAAATTAACCAATCTGTCATTGTTTCTTTATTAGCTCCTACATTACATTCTAGATTGCAAACTCAGTAACAGCAGAAAAACGTCTCATATATGTGTACATATATACGTTGGTATTATCTGAAAAGGAAAGAATAATGCACAAACAGCTTTAGGCTATACAATAGAATCATTCCCTTGTCTCGGGCAGTTAGGGTTTTAATAAGTCTCGATTTTTGATATCTCAATTGTGTTTTTATAGTCTATCTCCGGTATCTAGGGTTTGATACTATTGAAGATTCACTTTGTACTGTTAAATACTTTTTATTTGGTCAATCAATGGGTTTATCGAGTTATTATGTTTTTATTTCGTATATGAAGGTAAAATTACCAAGTTTTACTGTGTTGATTAAGATTAATATACTATGTCATATCCAAATCATGGTTGTTCGGAAAAACTATTTTTTTTTTAATGGCATTAGGGTCTAACGTAGATTGATGCTTCCTGGTGTTGTGGGTTGCTTATCGTACATGATTAGAATTGATGATTAGAATTGCTGCTTATTGACAATTTAATTTAAGCGTTTTTCTTTGCCTACGTATTTGTGAATTCGTTACTGGAACTGATTAATCATGGACCAAGTTTTAATACTTTGCTTGTTAGTTAGACAGAAGGGGTTCCTTTGCATCATGGAGCGCAGGACAATTGACTTGGACCAAGGATGGGATTTTATGCAGAAGGGTATCACAAAGCTGAAGAGTATTCTGGAAGGATCACTAGAGCAATTCAGTTCTGAAGAATATATGATGCTTTACACGTACTTTTCCTATCTGTTTATTCAATACAAGGTCAAGCCATTAGATACACATCAAATAATTTTCCCAATGTTCTGATTTTGCTTGTTTAAACACTACAGAACTATATACAATATGTGCACCCAGAAGCCGCCTCATGATTATTCTCAGCAGCTTTATGACAAGTACAGGGAGGCCTTTGAAGAATATATTCACTCTACGGTGAGGACATGGATGATATGATCTTTTTGCTTGATATGTAGACAGTTATATATTGTTTAAACTAAGTTGAAGGTTTGGTTTATTTCTTATTGTTAACTTTCTTAATTTTGTAGGTTAAGGTTAGATGAGTAACCCATTTACTTCTTCTTAGTCTTTTTTTTTTTTTAAATATTTTTCTGTTTCTTAATTCTCTTTCTATCTTTTAAGTAGCCCAAGAGAATGACAATTTAAAACAACAGTGAATTTGTCAACTGATATGTTACTGTGTTTCCATATGGTTTTGTATGGCAGAGTTAACATATAGAGAAGGAACAGTTAGTGAATGCAGTGTTGTTCTAAAGCATGATGGTGACATGGATGTCTTGTCATATATATTGCATTATAATTTTGTGTTCGACTACAAATATGCTCAGTATTGTTTCCATGATGTGAGACAAATTCTGTGTGGCTGTGATTTATATTGCCGATGGGGCTGTCTTCATGTTACATTATTTTATTGGGTTAATTTTACTGGTATAAACTATGGACTGATTTGTTCTTTATGATTAATAAATGACTTGATTTCATATTCTCCTCATCTTGTTTTCTGAATCAGGTGCTGCCATCTATAAGGGAGAAGCATGATGAGTTTATGCTGAGGGAACTCGTGAAAAGATGGTCTAACCACAAAATTATGGTTAGGTGGCTTTCACGCTTCTTTCATTATTTGGATCGCTACTTTATTGCTCGGAGGTCACTTCCTGCACTTAATGAAGTTGGGCTGACTTGCTTCCGTAGCCTGGTTCGTTAATTCCCTCTTTACCTCACAATGTTTCTTAAGCTTTTGGGCAAAGAGAATGTCAAAAGTTCCTCATTTAGTCTCCATCTCTAGTAATCTTTCCTATGATTGTTTCCTTCTCTATTTTGAAGATAGTTTAATGATTCTTTCATCTGTTTTCTTCAGGTTTATAAGGAAGTAAATCAAAAAGCTAGAGAAGCTGTGATTGTTCTTGTATGTTCTTCTAAGACCCTTGTAATTTAAATAATTATTGTTTTTTTTCAAATAAAATGCTGAGGGTCCATTTTCTGGAGATCAGATTGATAAAGAACGCGAAGGGGAGCAGATTGATAGGGCCTTGTTGAAGAATGTTTTAGATATATTTGTTGAGATCGGGATGGGCGTAATGGATTGTTACCAAGAAGATTTTGAAGTACACATGCTTCAGGATACTGGTGCATACTATTCTCGTAAGGCATCTAACTGGATTTTGGAGGATTCTTGTCCAGACTACATGTCGAAGGCAAGTACTTATCTGTACTAATTTGTGTAGTTGTTTTATAGCTAATCTTTATTATCCTGAACCACCCCCTCCCCCCATGAAATTGCAGGCTGAGGAATGTTTGAAAAAGGAGAGGGATAGAGTTTCTCATTACTTGCATTCAAGCAGTGAGCCAAAGTTAGTGGAGGTTAGTTTGGTTTCATATTCCATATATTTTGTGAATGAATTTGAGGATTTGGTGTTTTCTCCATCCATGTATTGTAGGAATTTTTTTTTTTTAATTGGTTATACTAACTAATTTATGTTCAATATGCATCTGAATAAATTATTCTGAATAGAGTTTTTTTGAATTGAAGCATTGCCTATTTTTCCAATTAGTTATGAAGGATAAAATATGAATTGGATGTAAAAGGAAATAATCATTATTAGGGGCTTTATTACTCTTGTGATTTTATATTTTGTTAATTTTATGAAAGTCGTATTGGATAAGTTTGTAATGAATATATTGAAATTGAGGCAGTAGATGTTTTTAAGGAAATTTACAGTATATAAGTGGGGGGCTTTTGTAGAAAAATTTGGCTAGGATCTTATATATTTAGACCTTAGTGCAAATGCAGATTAAAATGTCTGGAGTGGAAGTAGACTATCCATATTCTTAATCCATATACTGCTCTACCTGATTCCTCTGCTTACACCCTTAGATAAATGTTCTTGTGCATTTTTTTGCCAAAAGCACCTCTATAATGGTAACAGATGACAGTATTTGCCTTCAAGTATTAATGTTGTGTATATATCTTATTTGCATGCTGCATAACTAATTCCAAATTATAGTATGAATTATGTTTCATGACAGCATAGAAATGGTAAGTTGACGAAAGTAAAAAGAAATGGATGATCCTGTAAATCCTTACTCCCCATTCTGTATTCAAATTTGCCTACATTTGGAAACTGATATGCAGCAGCAGGTGGAGATTCAATTAGAAATCCTTCTTAGAGATGCGACAACTATAAGGGTTTAAGTTCTTGTAAATGTGATTATCATATATATATATATATATATATAAGTAAAGAAATGGATGATCCTGTTAAATCCTGTACTCCCGCATTCTGGTATTCAAATTTGCCTTACATTTTGGAAACTGATATGAGCAGCAGGTGGAGATTCCAATTAGAAATCCTTCTTAGAGATGCGGACAACTATAAGGGTTTAAGTTCTTGTAAAGTGTGATTATCATATATATAGTATATATATATATATATAATATATATTTAACTTCACTTTCTGATTTGTAAGAAAGGTGGCAACAATATATATATTTAACTTCACTTTCTATTTGTAGAAAGTGCAACATGAATTATTGGTGGTCTATGCAAACCAACTGCTTGAAAAGGAGCATTCTGGATGTCATTCGTTGCTTAGAGATGATAAGGTATAATGTGATCTGGAATTGGTCCCTCTTTTGAACTTTCTCTGGTTACTCTAGCGGCATAGGAAAACAATTATTCGGTTTTGTTTATAATTTGCAGGTGGACGATCTTTCAAGGATGTATAGGCTTTACCATAAAATACCAAAAGGCTTGGACCCTGTTGCTGCTATTTTCAAGCAGGTTAGCTGGTTTCTATATTCATGCTATTTTACCAGCCAAGGGCCTCTTTGCATATTTTCTTGGTCACTAACATTTCCTTTCTACAGCACATTACTGCTGAAGGGACAGTCTTGGTCCAGCAGGCCGAAGATGCTGCAAGTAACCAGGTCAGTAATTATGATTACTTTCTCATAGTTTCCATTAAAATAGAATTTTGGCATGGCTGTTTAATACTTTCATTCTGGTATGTCTACACTCTACTAGTAATTTTCACATATGAGAAGAAAAAGATGGGGAGTTAAAATTTATCACTCCTTTCATTTGGGTTGAGGGACGAGATAGTTACAACTTTTTTTGGTCATTAATATTGAAATTACGATAATAGTTCTATTATTCCTATGTACAACATTAATTCATTGGCAAATGTGTAATTTAATCCCTTGTCACTCAGCTTTCTTGTCGAAGATGTAATTGGTCTAAGTAGAGATTTTTGTTCCCCCCCTCCCGCCCGGCTCTTTCCATCTTCCTTTTTTTGGCTCCCTCTATCCAAAAAAAAAAAAAAAAAAAAAAAAAAAAAAATCCAAAAAAAAAAGAAAAAAAAAAAGAAAAAAAATTGGAAAAGTGTGCAGAATCTTTTCGTCTGTTCCCTGAGTATGAGAGTTTGTTGGGGATTGTGTTGGGGCCTTATGTGGGCATTATGAACCAGAGGCTGAATTTTAGCAGTTGTGGATTGCGTTTGTTGTGGTGCTGAAAAAGGGTGAAGCTTTACACTATTTTATTTGTGCTGCTTTTTGAAATTTTTTGATTGATGGGGAACAAAGTGCTCAACATAAGTTGAATGTGGCTACGGTAAGCAGGCTGCAAATGGTGGTGTACAGGGAAGCAGTGGTAAATCAAAAAAAAAAAAAAAAAAAAAAAAAAAAAAATTGAAATGTAGAATCTTTTCTCGTTCCCTGAGTATGAAGTTTTGGGGATTGTTTGGGGCCTTATGCATTTACAAGCTGAATTTTATTGTGATTCTTTGTTGGTGCTAAAAGGTGAGCTACATATTTTATTTGTGCTCTTTTTAATTTTTTTGATTGATGGGGAACTAAATGCTAACAAGTATGTGGCTCTACAGGCTGCAAATGGTGGTGTACAGGAACAGGTAAATCTTCTGACGACTTGAGTGTTTTATATGTATGGGAATAACGAGGAGGCTGAATAATCGATCTATTGATGTGATGTTCAGGTCCTAATCAGAAGTATAATTAATTTGCATGACAAGTATATGGCATATGTGAATGATTGTTTTCAAAATCACACGCTCTTTCACAAGGTTTGTGACTTTTGTACTACTGCTTCCATTATGCTTCTATAATTTCTGTAATCACTATTTTGTCTCAAAAGTCTTTTTTCTTTACACTTTATTTTTTTGTTCAACAGGCCATGAAAGAGGCTTTTGAGATATTCTGTAATAAAACAGTAGCCGGCAGTTCAAGTGCAGAACTACTGGCAACTTTCTGCGATAATATCCTCAAGAAGGGTGGAAGTGAGAAACTGAGTGATGAAATCATTGAAGAAACACTGGAGAAGGTGCGCTGTTAAAGTTTCTTTTTTCCAGTTTTATGAAATTCTATTTCAGTGTAGTGTTGATAGGTTTATTTTCTCTGAACAACTGAGAGTAATCACTGAAACTTGTTTTTCATTGTGGTTGAGTTTTGCAGGTGGTAAAATTGCTGGCATATATCAGTGATAAGGACCTTTTTGGTGAATTCTACAGGTAAATCAAAAATTTAGTGGGTATCATTTTGTTTCATTTTCCTGATCTGTTTTCTGTTCTCATTTTGTTTCCCTGGATTTTGGCAGGAAGAAGCTCGCTCGTCGTCTTCTTTTTGACCGGAGTGCAAATGATGATCATGAAAGGAGTATTCTTACAAAACTGAAACAGCAGTGTGGTGGGCAGTTCACTTCTAAGATGGAGGGGATGGTGAGTTGGGCCTTGGTTGATTAGTTGATACTTATAATACATCTACGCAACTTCAGTGATTTCTTAAGTGTTTCTTTTTTTTTCTTAGGTCACTGATTTAACACTTGCAAGGGAAAATCAGGCTAGCTTTGAGAAATATCTTGGCAATAACCCGAATGCACATCCAGGGATTGATTTATCTGTCACTGTTCTTACAACTGGATTTTGGCCAAGTTATAAATCGTCTGATCTCAATCTTCCTGCAGAGATGGTAAATATATTATTTATGGTTGGAAAGACAGGCCTTTTATCTTACCCTTTTCCTTTTTAAGTAATGCTTTTGAGTATATTTGTTTCAGGTCAAGGGTGTAGAAATTTTCAAGGAATTCTATGACCAAAAAAGTAAGCACCGAAAGCTTACGTGGATCTATTCGTTGGGGTCCTGCCATCTTAATGGCAAGTTTGAGCAAAAACCTATAGAGCTGATTGTGTCTACCTACCAGGTAAATGATAATAAGACCTGCATTTGGGGATGTGAGTTGTGGTAGTGACATATTTGCTACTGGATTATGGTGGATGATTCTGACTATGATATCTCTGCCTATATATTCTACAGGCTGCTCTCCTGCTGCTTTTTAACTTATCAGATAGACTTAGTTATTCTGAGATTATGACTCAATTAAACTTGACCCATGATGACTTGGTTAGATTGCTTCATTCCTTGTCTTGTGCCAAGTACAAGATACTTCTTAAGGAACCCAACACAAAGACCATTTCACAGACAGATTACTTTGAAGTGAACCATAAGTTCACAGACAGAATGAGGAGAATCAAGGTAACTTCTAGCATGATATTTTTCACTGTCCCTCTTGGGCTTGCATTTGAATCAGATCAGGTCTGGTCTTTATAATGTTTGGCTACTTACTCTCCTTTTGTCAAAGCTGTAATCATTTGAAATTTTCCCAATTGTAGATTCCTCTCCCGCCAGTAGATGAAAGAAAGAAGGTTGTTGAAGACGTTGACAAGGACAGGAGATATGCTATTGATGCTGCAATTGTGCGCATAATGAAGAGCCGGAAAGTTTTAGGCCATCAACAGTTAGTCTCAGAGTGTGTTGAGCAGTTGAGTCGTATGTTCAAGGTATGTCTACTTCCCTCTTGATCATGCATACATATTAGTGAAGAAGACAGGTTGGGGAATTGTAGCTGCTGACTACTGGGATAATTTAGGATTTGGACTAGGAACATGGAGTACTACATATAGTCTTTAATATTCCTTTTTATGCCTGCATGACTACCATGTGTTGAAAGTCCTCAGTAAAACCTTCATGAATTAGTGGAATTTGTAGCATAGCCGTCAGAAACTGTCATGTCATGAAAAAGAAACATGGGAACATGCGTCAACTTTTACTTGCGCGATTTCTTCCATTTATGTTTTGTTCTTGTTTGAATTTGAATTTACAGCCTGACATTAAGGCAATCAAGAAGCGAATGGAAGATTTGATCACCCGAGACTATTTGGAGAGAGACAAGGACAACCCAAACACATTTAGGTACTTGGCGTAATTCAAGTAGCAGTACAGTTCTGGCCTTAGGATCAGAAAGAGAGTATACAGTTGACTTTCCAATTTGAGAATTGCTGTAAATGATTTGTAGCAGGCAGACAGCCCCCCCTTGTTTAGTGACACTAGGGTTGAAAAAGGGTATCAAAGAATTTTTGAAGATGTATATTTCTGTAAACTGCTCTCCCTCCTTAAACGCAGTTTTGGGCAATAGTGATCCACCTAACATTTCACGAGGAAATATTAATTAATAGGATTTATTTATTTTCTAACGTCATATACTCATCGATGTGAATGTTCAGTGCACTTCCTTCCCTTTGCCCGCAGCATAATAATAATAATAATAAAAGGCAGAATATAGCATTTAAAATATACAATAAAATTAATTTTGTTAATGAAATTCATTTGTAAATCTATTTTAATGTTCATCTTATCATATCATTTTTAATTGTCCCAATTCCATCCTAGGGAGGAGCTCTATATTTTATGATTGGTTGGAATGAATAACAATATATAATTAACTTAATAATTCTACAACATTAACTATTTGATATTTCACATTAAAATTTATAATTTTATTTTGTTAGAACAAAAAAAAAGTAATTAAATAATTTTTTCTATTTTTTAATGAAACACAGTTTACCGTCGTTATATTTTGTCTAAATGACAAATCTACTTTCCTTCTATCAATTTTTAGTTGTAAAATTAATTAATTAATTATAGAAATATTAAAAATTGTAATGAATTTAACTTCTATCTATCTATTCTATATTATATATAAAAGTAGAAATGACAGGGGAATAATAGAATTACCCATAATGTCCTTAATGAAATTTTAAATTTTTTAAAATAACCTTATTAATGACCAATTGAATTTTATTTTATATGTTACGTTTGATACGTTATGATAATCTCCTTAATGAAATTTAAAATGTTCTAAAATAACATTATTAATACTCAATTAAATTTTATTTTAAATATTATACTTAATAGATAATTAACGTTAACTATAAATTAATAAATTGTAATTATTTTAATATTACATAATAAGGTTATACATGAAAATTAAATACTCTTTTATTTACTATATATGTCTTTCATTTATTCAATTTAGGATTTAAATTAAATGTTAGAGCTAAATATATATTACATATTTTCAGTATTTATTATATATATTATTTTGCTCTAATGATGTTAACCGTTTTGATTAACGTTATGATAATCGTCCTTAATGAATTTAAAAATGTCTAAAATAACATTATTAATACCTCAATTAAATTTTATTTTAAATATTAATAGACTTAATAGATAGATTAAGCGTTTACGTATAAATTATAATTGGTAATTGATTTGTAAATATTACAGATAATAAGGTTATACATGAAAGAATTAAAATACTCTTTTATTTAGCTGATAGTATGTCTGTTCATTGTATTCAATTTAGGATTTAAATTAAATCGTTAGAGCGTAAATATATATTGACAGTATTTTCAGTATTTTATTATATATATTAGTAGTATTTATTATATATATTATTTTGCTCTATTTAACGTAATAGATAATAAAATAAATTTATAATCTATAATATATCTATCTATACTATATATAAAAGTGAGAATGAGGGAATGGGGAAATAATAAGATTTTCTATGTTGTTCTTGTAAAATTTAAAATACTCTAAAATAATCTTAATCATAACTAATTAAAAAATTAACATAAAAATATATATAATATTTCTATAATTTGAGTGGATGTTTTTTTTATTTTTTTAATCGATAAATACATATAGATAACTAAGCTTTTGAAAATTTTATATTATTATCTTATTATGTATAATTATTATAATTATATTATATTTTTATTAATATTTATTATATAAAATTAATTAATAAATAAATTAAATAATTTTAATAATTTATTAATTATATTTATCATTTAATTATTATTTACTATTATTGTAATTTTCTTTCGATATTATTATTGTAATGAATATGTGTAAATACGAAGACATTTGATTTTTTTTTGAATTTTTAAATAAATATTATCTAGATAATTAAGATTTTAATTTAAAAAACGGTAAAATGGTTAAATTTCTTTTAATTACAAATTGCAACTCTGTTGGCCAAAAAAATAAGATAAAAAATTAATTCTTTTAAAATTCTCAAAAAATTTGATTAAATTATATTAATATCTTTATTTAATTCAAATTCTAATTCTTTTCATATGAAGGAATATGATTTTAAAACAATTGAAATTTTTAAATAATTTCGTTTATCTTAAATTGGCTAAAACAATGAAATAATTTATTAATTAAAATTTATTATTATTTATAAATATTTAATTTGATTTATTAGATTAATTTCTTATTCTATTTTTAAGTATATTTATTTACTAAAAGAGATTATAATGAAATTTATTAACAAAATATGTAAATTAATTATAAAACGTAAAATAATAGCTATATGATTATTTTTATTAATCAAGTACTTAAACAAAAAATAAAAGCAACTAGCATATAATGAGAACTATATAAATCAATATATTAAAGAGAATATAAATGACATATTTCATATTTGAATTACTATTTTAAAAAGAGAAACAAATATATTAATTCATTTTCAACGAGATATTACAGTCTAAGATATATAATTAAAAAGAATATTTTACTATATATATATATATAGGTATATATTATATATATATAATATATAAAATATATATACTAAACACTACATTTATCGCACGAGTAATAAAAATAAAGAAATAACGGAGCGAGTAATGATCAGTCAAACGTGCGATTGCACGTCTAGCAGAAGAAAGAACTGGTAAATGAATAAAGGTATAAAAGTAGCAAAAAATGGATAATACTTCCTAAAGAGAAAGCAATAAACAATATTAAGCTTACGTTTTTTTCGATTATAATAAATATAATTAAGTATATTTTTCTTATAAACATGAAACTAATAATGCATTAATTAATATAAACCACTACATTTATCGCACGAGTATAAAAATAAGAAAATAACGAGTATAGTCAACGTGCGATGCACGTCCTAAAAAGAACTGGTAAATGATAAAGGTATAAAAGTAGCAAAAATGGATAATACTTCTAAAGAGAAAGCAAATAAACAAATATTAAGCTTACGTTTTTTCGGATTATAATAAAATATAATTAAGTATATTTTTCTTATAAACATGAAACTAATAATGCAATTATTAAATTATATTGCATCTCACCCAATTCACTACCTTGGTTCAGCTTATTTCTAAATCATAACTTATTTCAAACCAAAAAACTGTCGGTTGGTGTGGGACGCAACCTCAATCCCTCGAGAACACAAGTTTGATCTCTGAAAAGCACACAGTTGTGGAAAAAATTTTTTACATACAGACATTTGAATACACAAGAAAGGAACAGATGAATTGATTAAGAAACAATGTCGACGAAAGCTTCAATCCGAAAAAATCGAAAAATAGACAGCAGCATACTACACAGAATTCAAGTACGTGAATGCAATACACGCATATCATATATTTGGCATATCAATCAAAACTCTACATATATACAGAAATGTATAGCTTGGCCTTCAGCATAATCAGGTCACAGAATCCTAAGATTCTAAGGCGTGCTAATATACACCCTTGCACCAGATGGGTTTCCTTGTCCAAGCTTCATAAGCTTGTTCAAACACTAAGTGCACATGGTGAGAAAAACCTATTCCAGAATGCTTAAGCCGCAAGAAAAGTGAGAAAAATGAATGACATTTTAGTATAGTCTATATTGCCAAATGCTTAGAGCTGTTGGAGCTCATCTAAATCCGGTCTAATCGGATATTCAAAACCCCGAAGCACTGGCATGCGCTTCAAATCATCTTCTGAATAAGCAGGAATCAACCAGTACCTCTTGTCCGTCCCAAACACCTGAATAGCAAAAAGGAGAATCTAAAATGATAATGACAACATTGTTAAGGGATACATTAGTTTTGAAACATTAGTAGGAAAGAAGACAGTTTTCTGGTGATGGAAGAAAAGATAAGTAAAGATAAAATAATTCTCATGCAGTTATTCTATGATCTATCATAACAATAGTTCTCTTCCAAATAATATTTTATTATAACGAAACAATTAACTTAACATTTTTACGTGTGTAGAAAATCATTCATAGAAACAATCTACAAGTGTGCTCTATGGATTTCTATGTTCTGATAATGATTGTCAATGATAAGAATAATTGAATATGTATCAATATCAAAGTAAATTTTACGCATACAACAGCTGTCAATTGTTTGATTTCTGCAAAATTAGATAGAAGATAAAGAGCTGCAAATAGAAACAGTACAAACTATAGGATCCTTTCATAGAAACACAGAATTGGGAAGCGAAGATGACTGAATTAGCACTGTTGTATGAAAACATCTTGAATTCTTGCACGGATCCACAAAGCAAGAAAAATTAGTGATGATAATTTTAGGAACTCACTACCAGCGAAGCCTTTTCAAATATTACAGTGTTATCAACAGTATATGGCCAGTGAAGTCACAACACAGTACTATCCCAAGTTCTTTGTCATATAAGCATAAAAATTTAATCATTTGATTAAATACTTATCAGATTCTGAGTTAAGATGAAAGTCAACTGCAGGTATGGAGCCTTGAATGAGCAAACATTTGAACTTGCAAAACTCAATTTATAATTTGAGTAAGCTCAGTTGTGCTGGAAAACACAAGTGAATTGATGAAATTTCCACTGAAAATGGTTAGTCTAACACATGTTAGGTTCTAAACCTCAACCTAAATAACATTAGGGTCTTTGGACATAAGAAATTACTTAACTGTAAGTTAACATTAAGTGAGCAACTAAAAATGATTTTCGTGTTATTAGCAATAACACGAAAATCATTATCTTATAAAAGTTGTTAAAGTTTGAAACGTATATGTAGTTTCCAAAAACAAGAACATGGATAAAAGAAGAAGAAGAAGAAGAAGAAGAAGGAGAATAATCAGTAAACATCTACTTTGCTTTGTCTTGCTATTGATTTGATCAGAGCGGATATTGGAAACAAAAGATTCATACAGCCTAGCCTAACTAGTTTAGGAGTAAGGCTTAGTTTTTAACCATCAAACAAAAGAGCAAAAGTAACCTGTTCAAAGTTCTTCTTTCTTCCAAGATCATATTGCCATTTAGGATTAGTTTTCTTCTCATATGCCTGAAATCAGAAAATTAAGAAAGCAATATAAGAGAAACTAGCTCAAAGACTGTTAATATATGGGAAAGAAAGGTAAGCAAGCATAGGAAAAAGCATCACCTCAATTGTGGTGGTATTGGCTAGTATCAACGATATGTGCATAATTAGGAAACCCATAACACTCAACGCAAATGATAAGTTCAATACTGAAATAGTTGGACAGCAACAATTAAGTATTAAAAAAATAAATTAAAAAATATATATGATGTATGAACTTCCAGGCAACTCACCGAATGTAATAAAAGTTGCTACAAGGGATCCTGGTGTTCCAGATATTTCACCATCAGCAAAAAATGCTATAAACAGTCGCAATAATGATAAAGTAACGAGAGTTGTCTCAAGAAATGTGTAAACCTGAATAAGAAAATAGACAAAAGTTGTCTCAGTTTTCTCTTTTTTCTTTTTAGTAGATATTGAATTAGCAGTTAGTTTTCAATACAAAATTATGCTTGTAGGAGAAGAATTGATACAACTGACTTAATATACATGCTACAGCACCAAGCCAAATTGATTTTGTTTTAATGAACAAGAGAAAATGGAAGAGAGTTTTTTATTTTATATTTTTCGCTCTTGGGGAGCCTTTTGCCGCCCGTGCTGCGCAGGGGGTTGGGGGCAGTGGGTGGAGGGGGTCGGTCTGGGGTTCAGAAAACTGGCCAATAACAAATTCTTCCATACATATAAATTCACTAACTTCCTAATCATAATATGGCATGTGGATAGAGCATTTTGTCTATATAGACCAAATGTTTGGTCCAATAGTAGCAGGTTTGTCCATGTGGCCGAAAAAGGTTGTAGGTAGGGAAGTTCTCTAGTATGCAATGCGATCGTTTGCTATTTATTCCCCTTTTCTGAATTTTGACCACTCATCCCAATGGTGACTTCCCTTGGTTTCATGTCTCTTGAAGGACGAATTTAGACTAATAAGCCTTAAAGTAAATTCTATATATTGAGAGAGACACAGATAGAAAGCCAGTCAACTCTTAACGATATTAATGCAAGGCCACCCACTCTGCACAGATCATTAAAAGGAAAATAATTCCTGTAATCTTTCTTCTACAAAATACTTAAGTTTCAGAAAACATAAGCTAATAAAATAAAAATGATTAGTGAATGAGTACGAGGCTTTTCAGCCCAAATCTCATTACAGAGATGTAAATCATGTTTATTTATTTTACATGCACATGGAGAGTTTATTGTCAGCTAACTGGAGAAAATAATCCATGTGGTAGACCTCACTCCAACTAGTTCGAGATCAAGACCTGTAGAAAGTTTATTTTGAACATTGCTAAAAACCTTAAATAAGCAAAAGCTATAAAGAGGAAATCTAGTTCAAAACCATAAATCTCCATGCCATTCTAGCATATGGATTAAGGTTGTCAAGTTTTAGATGATAATTAACATACCAAGAAAAGAAAGAAATACTTGTAGTTCAATGCCCCAACACAATTGACAACCCAAACACAATGATGGTCCATTTTCAATATACATCTTCCACCTAGAACCAATTAACAAATTAAGCAGCATTTAGTTAGAAAGCACATAAAGGAATAATCTTCTTCAAACGAACTCTATGTAAAGAACTTACAAACAGAACAGTGATGGCATCGAGGTGGTTTAAACTGGTTGCACTTCCGACAGAATCGTGTTCTTTGGTTAGCTGGCTCACCAAGCACAGATGAACGGTCTGAACCTAAATTTGCACCATGTTCCATCAATGCATCTGTCTCACCTCTCTCCTCATCTATTGACGGCCTCCAATTTGGTGGCACACCACCCGGATCCGTTAGAACAGTAGTAAAGTAACTCCATAATAGCATCACCAGCTACATAATAGACTAACAGAAGTTAGCATGACAGATTCATTTTTTTACCATCACGCATCATCATTTTTGTCTAGTGTGTTACATGTTATCCAGACACCTTTACCTATCATATCTTAGAACTTTGTTGGATGACATGCCATCTATGTATTGTGCACAGATGGAATACAACATATATTTGCTAGATTTAGCACATCAATTAACAGGTAATTTAGGTATAAGGGCAAAGCATATGCAGTGATAAATTCACTTTTCTCTGAATGGAAAGTTGCTGATTCAATTAGAAGAAACCACCTCCTGGAGAAAATGGTAAGGGAAAGGATACGTGTGAGAGATGATACTCGCAATGCAAGACGCCTCATGTGCTATATCATCCTTTTTATTTATATTGTTAAACATAAGAGAAAATCAAAAGTTAAGTCCTGTCCACATAAAATATCCCAAACAAAATATCATCAAATCTTTCAAATAAGTTGATTTACAACTTTCTTGCAAATTGAAATACGTTGAGTTACCAAGTCAATCCCATTGGTGCCTCGACAAAATCAAGTCAGCATAAATTATTGTTATGACAGGAGCTAATGCAGTCTGAGCCAAAAAAAACTTCTTTGCACTACACAAAACATCGTAATCTATAAAGTTACAATTTTTTAGTTTGAAATTGCTTCCTAGATAGCCAGCGAACTGCAATTGAATACAAGTTACCACCCAAAGCCAGAACGAATATAGACTGATACATAGTCATCAGAAAGTGTAGAACATGGTGAGGAAAAGGATAAACTTTTGCATCAGAACTCAAAAATTTATTATAATTCCAAATATATGAAATTAATTAACATGTGCCATTTCTACTTCAAGCATCATTCCTCTTACCATGACAAAATCATTTAATAAATAAGATGCCTCCATCAAATTCCTTATTTAAAAAATGCAGTGTGAAAGGTAGAAGTCTACCAATTCAGTTGGGCAGATATCCAATTGTAATTGAGCACTCCATAACAATATCCTTGCAACATTACAAAAATGTAATTGAAACAAAAATAGAAACACTCATTGACGATTCTGAATAAGAAATGCCACTTGGATACCCATTGTAATAGAATTCAGCTAAAATTTGTTCATGAAAAAGCTATAAAACCCAATTCAAACACAGGAAACAGCATTCATTAGCAAAACCAACTAAACAAGGTCCTGAAACAAGAGCTGATCCTTCTTTTTTTTTTAACACTAGCTAAAGCAAAACCATAATATCATTTCTTAAAGGGGAAAAAGAAAAAATAGCTAATCCAACTTACCAAAAAATGGAACAAAAGCAAGACAGCAAAAGAAGCAAGCGTCTCCAGGCCTCCATGAAAGAGAGCTGGACCGTAATCGGTTATCACAACGACATAATACGTAAGCCCAATAATGCCAATGACCAATACCATCATTATAGAGCCAAGAGCACGCAAGGCCGTGCAGAACCTGAAAACATTCAATGCCATTACTCGTCCTCCTGATTTCTGCAACATTTTCTCCAAATTAAACCCCAAATTTGTGCTTTAAAATCAAACTGTGGAACAAAGAATTGGGTTACAATCAAAATAAAAGCGAAGGAAAGGGTTAGAATTGAATTTTTGGTTTGAAGACTTTGAAATTCCAGGTGAAGAAAAAGACCGGAATTTTATTTCCTGGTTCTGTTCCATTTTTATAATAGTTAAAAGGAAAACCATCGAAAAAGAGAAAATGTAAGAGAAGAGTTGAGGTCGTTGTTTTAGGCCCAAAATATAGTATAAGGCTATTCTCTGGGCTTTTATACTTCAGGATGTTCGCCGTAGCCTATTCAGCAAAACACCCATTTCAATAAAGACTTAACTTTGCTAATTTCGTGTTAGGAATTGAAGGATTGAATTGTAATAAATACTATGGGAAGTGGTTTTAATGGCATAAGTTGTATTTCAATTTCCTTATTCCTTTTTTTTTTTTTTTTTTTTTTTTTTTTTTTTTTTTGGCTATTCTCTGGGCTTTTATACTTCAGGATGTTCGCCGTAGCCTATTCACGCAACAACACCTCATTTCAATAAAGACTTAAACTTTGCTAATTTCGGTGTTAGGAATTGAAGGGATTGAATTGTATAAATACTAATTGGGAAGTGGTTTTAATATGGCATAAGTTGTATTTCAATTTCCTATTCCTATCTTTTTTTTTTTTTTTTTTTTTTTGTATTTTTTAATCCTCAAAGGTAGTTAGTCTAATGGAAACTATGGCAGACAGAATCCACCAAAATTAAGTAACCCCTTTTTTTTTTTTTTTTTTTTTTTTTTTTGTATTTTTTATCCTCAAGTAGTTAGTCTAATGGAAACTATGCTAGACAAATCCAACCAATTAAGTAACCCCTGTTTGGGCTTAAATTCGCTAATGTTCATGGATTATAAACCTTATGTGTATTAGAGATTTGTTCGATCCATGTGGAGGGGCGTTTCCATAGAGCCAGTAGGAATTATGTTGGTTAATAAGACTTTTCCCCTTTCTGGTAAGTTAGCTAATGGTCAAGTGTTAGTTAACAAACTTCAATGCCCTGAATTAGAATGAAAACTGCAAGGGCATACTTTCACATATAGTCCTAAGATATTGGAACTAGCCCAATATCATATGATATTAGGGGTGAATTAGTTAAAATAGTACAATCCTATTTTATTTGACTTTCCTACCCTATCCCTTGCCATACAAAAGAATAAGGCTTAGTTAGAGTTAAAAGGAATCACTGAGTCTAGCTCTTTAAACCTCATTTCCTTTAAGTCTCTTAAGAAGCTAGTTAGGAAAGGTTGTGGTATGATCATACTTGTTTTCCATTTTTACTGTCCCTTTTTCTATAAATACCTCTATCCTTAACTATTCACCTCCATTAGCAATTTAAAAACTCTTAGATTCCTTTAAGGACATTTTCAAGAACCTACATCTCTCCCTCCCCCCAGAACATGTGATCACTATATTCATCTTCTTCCACATGCCACCTTGCTAACATAAGACCCTATAAAAATAATAATATCCAAAAAATTGAAATAGAAAAATAGGTCCATGACATGGTTATCTCACAATTAATACAACCTAGCCACTATCCTTTTGCCTCCCATGTCCTTTTAATCAAAGAAAAATATAACTTTTAGAGACTTTACATTGACTATAAACAACTCAACTCCTTGACCATTAAGGATAAATACCCAATCCTTGTAATAGATGACCTCTTAGATGAGTTACATTTTGCCTATTATTTCTTTAAGATTGACTTGAGAGCTAGTTATCATTAGATCAGAATGCATAAGGCAAATATTCACAAATTGCTTTTAAAACTCATTTTAGCCATTTTGAGTTTAGGGTAATGCCTTTTGGGCTTACCAATGCTCTTGCCACTTTCCAATCGCCAACGAACATTATCTTTGAACCACATCTTAGGCAATTTTCTTTAGTATTCTTTAATGATATTCTCATTTACAGCCCTAACCTTGTGTCTTGTTTAGGACATTTATGCAGTATTTTCATTATTTTGAAACACCGCAAACTTTATGCTAAACAATCCAAATGTGTCTTTTGTACCATAACTCAACCATAGAGTTTTTAGGTCATATTATTAGTGCCAATAGAGTGGCGTCTAAGCTTGAAAAGATTGAGGCTATGGTTAATTAGCCTACACCTAAGTCACTTAGGTCTGTAAGAGGTTTTTTGGGGTCTGACTGGTATTACAGAAAGGAGTCATGAAGTGATAAGTAAGCCCCTTACAGACCTACTTAGGAAGGACGTATTCATATGGAGTCATCAAGCCACTTAAGCTTTTAACCTTCTTAAAAAAGTCATAACCTCAATACCTATTTTGGCACTTCCTAATTTCACATTCCATTTGTATTGGAGACTAATGCTAGTCAATATGGCTTAGCTGCAGTTTTGATGCAAAATGATAGGCTAATTGCCTTTGATAAGGCCCCGACCCAAGTGCCTTTTCCAATATGCTAAATGTGAAATTGGAATGCTTATTTTGAGTTGGTTTCATGATTTGAAAACATATTTAATTTGATTGTTTTTATTTGAAAATGAGTCGCCACTTATATTTTTTATTTTGAGGGAAAAAACTAAGAAAAATCCTAATTTTAACTCCGGACATTGGTCCAAATAGATAAAATGCACTAATCATCAAAACCGAGGAGGATTCGGGGACTAATTTTTTATTTTAAACAATCGATTAATTGGCCTCAGTTTTAATTCTTTATCGAATGGTAATAATTTTAAGATGAATAAATGCACGACAATTATAGACAAGCAATAAAGAAAACAATTTAAAGAAAGTGGCAAATAAAGCTATAAGGAATAAGGAGTATTATTTCTAGCCTCGTTTTGAGGATTCTAGAAAGGCCACACATCTCCAATTTAAGCAATTAAGTATTAAAGAAAGCATTTAAACATGGGACCAATTAAAAGGGAATGTCATCTCGAGCCCCTTAAGAGGATTCTAGGATGACCACATGTTTCCCTCAACTGAAAGTAAAAGAAACATTCAGAGAAAGCAATAAAGGCAGAGATGAATATAACACAAGGAAAAGTACAAAGAGATAAAAAAAGAGAGTATTGCCTCTAACTTCTTATAGGGATTCTAGGACAATCACATGTCTCCCAATCAAGCGCATAAAATAAGAAAATCCGAATAAAGCAAGAGAAAAAGAGAAAGAGGAAAAAAGAATTATGTGGATTTTTGGTCCGTAACACAAGTTTAGTAATCAAGTCTATCTACTTATCCTATGCAATAGGAATAGAACTAAGCAATTTTTTCCATTATGAAATGGGAACTTTAATTATGAAAGGTGTGTGTATGTGGTGTGTGTATTAATAAAAGTTTGTTTTAGTTGCCATTTTGAGTGAAACAATGTCATTTGATTTGGAAACAATGGATTTATTCACCAATTTGATTGAAAAGTGTCTTTAGTTGCCAATTGATTGAAAAAGTAAAGTTTTTTTTGACTTAAGTCGCCATGCCTGTGAAAAAGTGACTTTAGTCACCAAGTTTAAGAAAAAGAAAGCGTTTTGGCTTTAGTCGCCATATTTATGCAAAAGTGGCTTTAGTCGCAATGTTTGTGAAAATTCAGCTTTAGTCTTCGATTTGCGAAAATATGGCTTTAATCGCCATTAGATTGAAAATTATTCATTTGGCTTTATTTGCTAAAGGTTTTGAAAAAAAGAGACTTTAGTCGCTTATTTTGTGTGAAAAAAGATCATTTGGCTTTAGTTGCTAAAGGTTTGAGAAAAGAGACTTTGGTCGCCTATTTTGTGTAAAAATGGTTAATTTGGCTTTAATCGCCAAAATGTTTTGAAAAAGCATTTAGTCGCCTATTTTGTGTGAAAATGGTTCATTTGACTTTAATTGCCAAAAGTTTTGGAAGAAAAGAAACGAAGAAGAAGAAGGATGAAGCGGTGTGCAAATAACAAAGAAACATGCAATATCTGCGCACAACACAAGGCAACAAGCAATCCTCAATATTCATTTATTTCAAACATGCTAGTCATGTACAATGCCATTCAGAAATTTAGAGTCTCACATTGAAGACACTTATAGCAAAGATGCAATAATCATGAAGTTATAATATCGTGCTAAAAAATGTTAAGACAAAAGCGTAGGAGAGATATGTAAGAATTTAATTTGAAGCTTCTAACTTAAAGTGGGTAATTGAAAGACTAAACGTGCACTCTAGGTATTTAAACATTTATTTAGAACTAAGTTAGACAAGCATATAATCCAATTTAATTAATTCAATGAAGCTTAATTAATCATGCCATTATTTATTTCCTAAGTTAAATAGACATTTAATTAATACTAAACTGATTGAACATGCAACTTAATTAAATCTAAGTTAATCATGCAATTATTTAATTCCTACACTAATTATGCTTTAATTTAATTCTAATCATCCTTCCTAACTAATTCTAAACTAATTAAACATTTAATTGAGTCTAAGTAATCATACATTTAGTTAATGAAGTATATGCTAACTGATTAATTAATTCTATTTGATCATGCAATTTATTTAATTAATTATAAACTAATTTATTTATTTAATTTATGGATTCTAGTTTAGGCCTGATGTTTTAGACCGGCATCAACACTCTTCTATTTCAATTTTCCTTTTGAACTATATCTGCCAAAATTCACAATTAGTATAAAAAGTGAAAAATTTACTCCATCAGTTCCACTTTAATAGCAACAAATAGACATTTTACCTCCTACTTTAAGTGCTCATTTAGGATTTTGAGAATAAATTAATTATTTTTTTTCAATTTTTATCCATATTTATTAGGTGTGATTTATTTTTATATTTACATTTAAGAAGAGCAATTTAGACATTATACCATCTATTTTTAGAAAATCAATGAATTCTAATCATTTTTTTAATCCTTGTGAAAAAAGCAAATGTTGCTACTAAAATGGAACAGAGGGATTAATATATAACAATAATTACTCGTGTGGAAGCTAAATATATTAATTAAAAAAAGAATGTTTTTAAGTTAAATCTGAGCCCCTTAATTGTGGGGTCTATTGAATAAACAAGGATTTAAACCACTATATGATTTTCCAGACAAGAAAAGTTAAATATTGCTTGTAAACTTGTTCTGAAGCCATACCAATAAATATAAGAACAAAAGTAAAGTATAACAATGGTCACCTAATTAATTAAATACTTGTGTAATAAAGTGTGATGGACTGTGAAGATAACTCTGCAGCTCCTCCGATCTCATCTGAGGAGGCAGACTAGCTTTCTCTGAGTAATAAGAAAGTCAAGGTCATTGATGCTAATGGTGGTGGACAAGGTACGGAGACTCACCTAACTGTGGTCGGGTCTCATAGGGCTGAGCAAAAAAGAAAGACCTCATTGAGGGACGTGGTTATGAGGGAGAATAAGGAGGTTGAGGAGGCTTTGGATTGGAACGTTGACTCATATGAAATCTCAGATGATGAGTCTGATGAAGGTGATAGTGACGATGACGACCCCGAGTGTCCTATGATTCGAGTTCCACAGATGAAGAAGAAAGTGCTTCAGTCAAAGTGGAAATCCACATTGATTATCAAAGTCTTGGGTCGCTCATTTGGTTTTGCTTTCTTGCAGAAGAAGCTTAAAACCATATGGAATATGTAGTCTCCAGTAGATATCATTGATCTTGTGAACGACTTCTATATGGTGCATGATAAGTTTTATTTTTATAGTTATTTTTGGTAGATTTTAGTCTGGATTTCTTTTAAATTTTATTTAATTTGTTGTGATGTACTTAATTTTACTTATGTTTTTCAATAAGGCTTCCTTGAATCGTATTTCACTTGATCTTAAGGAATTTTATAGGATTTTTATAGGAAGCTAGCCAAAAATATAAAAAGTGGATTTTAAGCAAGAAAATAAGCAGGATTTCTAGAGGCTAGCATGCCCAGGGCATGCTATTCAACACCCTCATGTTGTTTCCACAATGAGTCTTTAGTGAAGGTCAGAGTCTGGCACGCCAGGGCGTGCTAATTATCACCCCATGCTAATCTGCAGAATTCAACTTAGGCCGAAAAGTCAGCTCTAGCTCGTGCCGCTTGCATGGACTTGCATGAGGAGCTTATAGGACGTGCCTAACCAAGCTTAAATCCTATTTAAATGCTGGGAAAGTCCTAACTGGGAAGAAGTACAAACCTAAACAGTTTCCTATCTCCAAAAGATTTCTTCCTTAATAAAGATTCACTTTCCTAAACGAATTCAAAGATATTCCAATGAGTCTATATGAAGACAGAGACTAGCTAGGTTATATTTATCTTTTGTTCTATTGTTCTCTAGTCTATTTAGTTCATCTCTCTTTAAGACTTCAAGTATTTAAGTTGGTATCAAGATTAAAGGAAGCTGCTCAAACCAATCATTGACTAGTTTTACTTCTAAACTCTCTTCTTGTTTATTATTCTTTATGGGATTGTTTATAAGTAATTGAGTTTTATTTAATTACTATGTCGAACTATATCTTTTTATTAGGAATAAGATGTAGCTTAACTTAAACTCTAATGTATACTATTAGATTTGATTTTCTTTATTCAAATAAAATTTATTATTGATCTTAATGCTTCCAGGTAGTGCTCTCCCCTAGATTGATTTATTTCATTAATCATTATTGAGCGAAGGATTTTTGATATGAATAGTTTAATAAATTTCATGGAATAACAACTTGATACGAGTGCTAGATGGTTTGCCTCGTGGGAGATTTCATAAAATTAAAGGCCTTAATTTGTGAATTCCTAAATAATCATAGAACTTAATGTTTTAATTTATTTGGTTGCACCATTGAGAGATGGGTAATTGAATTGAGTTAAAATAGCTAATAAAACATTGAGAGAGCTTATTGGCAATTTTGGGGTTATTTCTCCTTCTTGAATAATTAAAATTAATTATCAAACTAATAGGATGAATTGGATAGAATTAAGTGAAGTCAAAATCCCTTGTATCTTTTAAACCTTTATTTCTTTTCAGCGATTTCTTACTTGATCTCATTCTCATTGTTTTACTTTAATTCTTTTATTTCCAAATACATTCTCTTTATTGTCGTTTAAATAATAATAGGTCAACATAATTTTGGTACTTGGTATACAATCTCCGTGAGACGATACTTTATTCACTATTTATTACTTATTTACGATTTCATACATTTACGAAAAAGCCTGTCAAGTTTTTAGCCGCCGTTACCGGGGATTGGCATTACCGATACCAATACTAATTACCCTATTATTAATTTAAACATTTATTTTTCTATTTCTTTAATTTTATTTTACAAGAATTTCAGGTGTTTTATGCAAAGATCTTGTAGAGTTGAACCTTTAGTCTTTGATCCAGAAATCGAAAAGAATTGCCGAAGGAACAATGCTACAAGAAGAGAGCAAGAACATGAACAAAGGCGACAAGTAGACATGGCTGAAGAAATAGAATTAGAGGAGTTACTTCAGCAAGAAGAGCAACAAATTTTACAACATCAGCTCAACCAAAACAATCAAAATCAAAGGCTTCGACCTTCTATTCGCACCTTATGAGATTACACCACTCCTTCTCTTACTGGGACCACTTTAAGTATCACTAGGCCTAGGGTGGATGCTAATAATTTTGAGATCAAACCTGCGATTATCCTAATGTTTTCCACCTCATTTCAGTATAGAAGATTGCCTAGTGAAGATCATAATGCCCACATCACAAATTTTTTGGAAATTTGTGATACTTTTGAGCAAAATGGATTTTCTGAAGATGCAATAAGTTTGAGACTATTTTCTTTCACTCTAAGGGATAAACGTTCTTGGTTGCAATCATGCCCTATTGAAAGTTTCACTACTTGGGAGGAACTAGCCTGAAAATTTTTGGCAAAATTCCTTCCATCTTCAAAGGCTACAAAGCTTCGTAATGAGATAATGACTTTTGCCGGCCATGATCAAGAGAGTTACTATGAAGCTTGGGAGAGATTCAAAGACCGTTGAGAAAGTGTCCACATTATAGCTTACCCAAGTGGTTACAGGTGCACTTTTTATAATGCATTATCTCGTAACACCAAGATCACTTTAGATGCAGCTGCTGGTGGTTCTTTGAAAGAAAGGGGATTGATGAGGCATATGATTGAATTGAAGAGATGACAAGCAATAGCCATTACCAAAATACCTTTGAAAGGAAGAAGCCAGCAGGAATCTATAAGATTGATGTCATCACCGCATTGAATGCCAAAGTAGACAACATGGTAAAGAAATTAGATATATTGACCACTAATTCTGTTAATTCTATTGTCTAAGCATGTGACAGGTGTAATGAACAATATGGAGTTGGAGAATGCATGATGGACAATATTAATGCTCAAACTCTGGAGCAAGTCAACTTTGTGATGAATCAAGGAAGGAAGAATTATCCATATTCTAACTCTTATTATCATAATAGGTCGTGAAACCATCCTAATCTTTCTTATGGGAATATGAACAATGCCTTGAATCCACCACCAAGTTTTCCTCCTCAAGAGAAAAAGCCTCATGATGATCTTCTCGCTGCTCTTTCTAAATCTCATATGGAGTTCATGAATGAAACCTGGGAGTATCATAGGATCAATAAAGAAAATCATAAGATTCAACAAGCTGGAATAAGGTACTTGGAGAATTAAATAGGCCAATTTGCAAACATGATGGCTTATAGACCTTAAAGTAAGTTACTTAGCAATACTGAGAAAAATCCTAAAGAACAGGTACAAGCAATTATTTTGAGGAATGAAAAGCAACTAGAGGATCCACCCAGGAAGGAAGTAGATAAGCAAGAAGAGGGAAACAAGGAGATCCGGATCATTGATCTTGAAGAGAAAGAGGAAGTCAAGCCCTATGTTCCACTTATCCCTTTTCCACAAAGGCTTAAACAATCAAAAGATGATAAAAGCTGCCTCAAATTTCTTGATGTCTTTAAAAAGCTCTAAATCAACATTCCTTTTACTGAAGTTCTTGCTCAAATGCCTAGCTATGCAAAATTCTTGAAAGATATCTGTGAACCCCTACCCCCAAAGATTAGCATATGATGCATATGACTAAGGGCAAAAATGCACGTGAAAGTGTGAGTCGTCACCTTGTTTAATTATTTTAGGGTAAACTAGGAAAAAACCCTCAGTTGACTCCGTGGAGTAAACTAGGAAAAAACCCTCAGTGACTCCGATTTTAATTAACCTAATTACTAGATTAATTATCCCAATGTTAAGGCATAATCTACGAACCCGAGTGGGATCCGAGGCATGTTTCATGTTGATAAATTAACCAAGAATGCCATGCTGCAAGGTGAATATGTAATGGACCAATTGAAGTGTCTTTAAGTGATTTTGACTTGCCGCTCATGAGAGTTAAATCCCAAACGTGCTACGTACTCTGTGAATGGAGATCAAAGTCGACGTAGTTCGATTAGACCTTTTTTTAAAAGGCTTTATGAATGGGTATGATAATGCATGAGTGATAGATTAGTATATGAATATCGAATGCATTTGTATTAAAAAAGGCATTTATGCCAAAAGAATTGATTGAAAAAGCTGATTAAAGCGTTTGCTGCCAAAAAATGTTGAATTTTAAGCCGGCTTTTTTACGCAACAAGGAAATTGGATCTCTAGGAATTAGTTGACAAAACGTTGCTCGATTGGAGCGATTAGTTCGCCAAAATTATATAGATTTAAAGGCTTTAGCCAAAGATATGAATTTTAGGCAATTATGTAATGCCAAAATTGAATTTGATTTAGGCATTTGTTTGCCAAAAAGTGAATTTATAATTTGAGGCTTTATAGCACAAAATGGAGTTTTCATTTAGACATTTGTTTGCCAAAAAGTGAATACGATTATAAGTGAATTTTGTCGCTAAAGTAGGTCAATTCTACTAATAATAGGCATTATGTTTGTCAGGAAGTGATCAACTGAATTGCAATATAGGGCATTATTAGCCAAGAAAAACGTGTTTAATTAAGGCGTTTTAGCCAAACAAATTATTAATTAATGAGACTATAAGCCGGACTGTTCGATAAAGCAATCGACCATAGTATAAATACTTAAGGCTTTTTAAAGCCAATATTGTCGGAATCTAAGCTAATAACGATTTTTTAATTAACCGATGCATTTACAGCTTAAATCATGTTTAATTGAGCAGTTTATTTGCCAAATTGTTGAAGTGAATGGCATTTATGCAGCAGTTTAATTCAGGAATTGGAGTAGAAGAAGAATATGCATAAATGCTGAAATTAAATAGCATGCTGAAATTAAATAGGCAGAGTTTCGTTATTACCTGATTTAATCGACGGTCGCTTCTTAGCTTTAGCTTGAAAACTCCAAATTAAGCTTCTCGTTTGGGGAATATTAATTTAGAATTTAATTCAAATTAAGTGACCAAGTATCACAACAACAGAATAATAACAGCCTACAATAAATGCAGAAAAAGCAGTAAAAGAATCGCAAGGAGCGTAGGGGAGAAGGAGCGTCCGTTAACATAGACTGAGTGAGTAAAACTAATGAACCGGGGCTGTATTTATAGGGCAAATCTGGGCTGGAGGGCGGCCGCTGCCGCCGAGGCCGGAGAGCCACCGGCGCCGCCGTGGACGGCGGCAGCTGCCGCCGCTGTTCCGAGGCAGCCGTCGCCGTCGTGGCAGGCAGGCCCGCCGCCGTGGCCGGCGGGCGCGCTAGTCTTTTTTTCATTCCGGAGGCTTTTTTTCGAGAGTTTCGGACTCCAAAAAATATTTCGGGACAGTTCTGTGAATCCTCGGTATTTTCCGGACGTTTCAAGTACCATATTGGCATACTCGATGTTGTGAACTTTCAATTGGCGCCTCTCGGTCCGGTCGGAACTGTTTGCATGTTCGGGGAAAACATAGGCTTTTGAGCCTCAAATGGGGTATTCACAGATATCCTGTCCAAAAGGAGGAAGATCGATGATCAAGGAACGGATTATGTTAATCGAATGAGTGTAGTGCAATTCATTCAGCAATCATTCAAAATAAATTACCTCCAAAGTTAAAAGATCTAGGAAGTTTTTCTATCCCTTGTAATATTGGAAATCTTGATTTTGAAAAAGCTTTGACTGATTGGGGTGTAAGTATTAATCTTTTGTCTTATGAAGCTTTCAAGTTGCTAAGGATGGGTGAGCTGAAACCTATAAAGATGTCTCTAAAATTAGCAGATCGATCAATCAAATATCCAAGGGGTATTGTAGAAGACGTGCTCGTCAAGGTAGGTAAGTTTATTGTTCCTGTTGATTTTGTTATCCTTGATATAGATGAAGATAAAGAAGGATCACTTATCCTTGGACGACCTTTTCTTGCAACTGCAAGAGCTTTGATTGATGTGTATGAAGGTAGCTAACCTTAAGGGTAGGTCAAGAGGAAGATTGATGTGTATGAAGGTAGCTAACCTTAAGGGTAGGTCAAGAGGAAGTTGTTTTTTATGTTCTTAAATCTTGAAAGCTTCCTATGGATTCTAGTGATTGCTTTAGAGTTGATGATTGTGTAAAAGACACCTTGCATGTTAAAGAAAAATTGACCATTAACAAATGTGACATAAACATTAAAATCCAAAGCATCAAAAGCGAGAAAGAAAGTGAACCACTTAAGCATGAACTAAAACAACTTCCCTCTTATTTAAAGTATGCATTCTTAGGTGAGTACAACTCTTTTCTGGTTACTATTTCTTCTAACTTATCACTAGATCAAGAGAAAATGTTATTGCAGGTTTTAGGAAAGCACAAGAAAGCTTAGGGTGGATGATTTCAAATTTGAAGGGGATCAATCCAAGTGTGTACATGCACAAAATTTTGATGGAAGAAGACTACAAACCTTCAATCGAGCATCAAAGGAGATTAAATCCAAACATGAAGGAGGTAGTCAAATCTGAAATCATTAAACTCTTTGGAGGGAATAATATTTTTGGTTCACACCATTTTTGCATGAAAAATATTTGATAGTTATATTTCTATTTGTGCGCAAACAATTGACAGAAAGAAAGGAATGGAGATTGACAATTCATTTAAAGGAAATTGCAAATAAACTAAAAGGGAAAGAAAATTAAAAATAAAAATAAGAAGGGGAAATTGTGTTACCTGTCGATGGCGGTGGAGAAGGGAACCTATAGAGTTAGAGAGATAGAGAGTAAAAAAAAAAACTTAGTTCTTGAGAGGAGGGAGGCAATGTCGTTGCTTGGCGAAGAGAGGGAGAAACGACGTTGAGCTATTTAGAGAAGGTGGCGATGCTGTGGTGTCGGTCGAAAGTGAGATGGAGTAAGCGGCGCTATCGCGAGGGGTTGGGAGAGGGGAAGTCGCACGAGAGAGAAAAAAAGAAAAAGGAAATGCATGCAATTTAAAGGAAAAAGTGGAACATAGGCGAGCGCCTATGTTAGGGTTGGGTGAGGGGCTAGGCGATGGCCTAGGTATGGAGAATAAAAGGAACAGGCAAGCGCCTGTATAAAGGGAAAATGAAGGCGAGGCGAGCGCTTGGGCGCACATGGACCTCATGTGCTCGCCTAGCTTCCTCGGCTCATAATTTTTATATTTTAATTTTTTTTCTTTTTCTTTTCTTTTCTCTTTATTAGTATTAATTTGAAGTATTACTATCTAAAAGTGTATATATTTTTTGGTTTTCTGTATTTTATGCAAGTAAACAACAAGTAAATAAGTAAATATGCAATTATAATTGATAGAAAATATAATAGGGCTGAAGAAAAAAGTTTTATTTATTTTATAAGATTTTTTTCTTCTTTTTCTCTTATATAAAAAAAAAAATCTTCCCGCCCTCACCAAAAAATTACTAACTATAGACAGGAATGGGCAATTCTCACAGGGGGTTAGGTGGAGGTCTTTCAAAAATTCATCCCAAATCATATGATGATAACCTCTAGCCCCACCCTGACTTCAAACTTGCTAAGCTATCCCACCCCATTTCTTCCATCAACATGCAAAAATTCTCTTGGATTTTTTATTAAATCAAGGAGTTCTTCATTGATTTTTCTTGCTGGAAG